TTAGGTCTGGTAAATCAAGTTGAAAAGAGTGTATATTGTTTTGATTAGCGTATAAAATACTATTAGATAATATGAGCTGTAATACTTCTTCATCCAGTATTTTTTCAAAAATCTGTACAGGATTTTGGTCTTTTAGCTGTTCCTTTATAGCATTCTGTTTATCTTGCACCTCAGACGTATGCTGATGGCCAAAAGTATATGATGGTAAACATTTTCTCCAGGCTGGAGTTTGCTGCCGCTGCTCAATGTTAGGCTGTCGACGAACTCGTTTTGAAGCCAATGGTTCTTCGTCACTGGAATCATAGTCACTCAACAAATTATCTTCATCGTGCACCAAAACCTCAATATTTCCGGGCACATCTCGTGGCAACGTATATGTCACCATATCTTCATCAGACCCTTCCTCTTCGTCAGTCACTACACTGGGATCAGGTGGTATTATCGCCAAATCATATGCACGGTCATCATCACTATCTGCTGTGACTGCTTCAATTGCTTCCTCAAGTCCTATAAAGCTATTTGAACCGTAAAACATCTTGCGACTCATTGTTGGTAAACTGAAACAAAGTTGTAACTTTTATCTATTGAAGTGACCAGTGTATTCAACTGAGTACATCAGTAAAAATCTTCATCTAAAGTTAGTAATAAACAATAATTGTTTCAAATTTTGTAACTCACATTATAGATTACTCTATATCTTATCACAATTATTACAAAAAACAACATTTACACTAATAATAATAATAAAATATAATAAAAATACTACTCACTTGCACGCTAGTCCAATAACATGAAATCCGGTTGCTCCAAATGACACATATTTTAGAAATACCTTCAATTTGCACGACTCAAAAAAAACATGAGTCTACCCTCTATGTAATTTATTAAAATAATAAATAACATACCCTCACATATTTAGTCAATTCATTTTTAAACAACTGTACTCGTTTGAGTACAGCGACAGAGAATGGGTTAAACTTCCTCGTTTTAAGCCGGCTACACATGTTGGTCATAGCTCGCCGAGAGAAGGCAAGTATCAACATATAGATAGCCCATTTGTCTAGCCTAGTCACTAGCCTAGCCACTTCTTTTTAAATTGTTTTATGTCAAGATCCCAATGAATCTGTAATCCTGTGAAGGACTCCTTTTATTTTAGCGTTTACCTTTCAAACAAGAAGTATGTATATATTTTAGAGGTATGCTAATATCTACTAAGTATCTTGGGCCATTTTTTATTATGTTTTTATAAATTACTGTAAAAAAATAATATTATACGAGTTTAGATCATCCAGCTCGTCTGGGGTGGATAGAATACGCCTTTCCGAGTGTCCACCCTAGGGTGGCTGTTTTAGGGTGGATAAACGGAATAATCGCAATATACAAGACTAGCTGTGCCCCGCGGTTTCACCCGTGTATATCACGCGTCTGCGCCTTGCGACATGCGAACTTCGAGAGAGACATCACGACGGATGGTTGCTGAATTAACAAAGATTTAAAAAGTGAAATATGTTACTAAAATTACATGGTTAACGTAATTGGTGGTTATGCATTTTAAAGGTACTGATACGAATAATGTGGCCTAGTTTGTACCGGCGTTACTATTTCACATTTTAACATGAAAAAGTAGTTATTGTGACATAACTGTAATGGTTAAACATAATATGGTATCGCAGACTTTTTTGTAGATATTGATATCCTGTATAAAACTGAAGTACATTACTTTGCTCTATTATCAATAGTTTCCGCAGCGTACGCGATATAAGGATTCTTTTTGGTATTTTTTTCACACCTTGGGTTACATTAACGAAGTTTTCATACAGATCCCTAACTTTATTGAAAATATTATATAGCCTATGTTCATCAGGGATAATGTAGCATTCTAATGGTGAAAGAATTTTTCAAATGGGTCCAGTAGTTTCGGAGCCTATTCAATTCAAACAAACAAACAAATCTTTCCTCTTTATAACAGTAGTGTAGATTGTAGCTTTGTATCTAACACATTAGTTAAAATGGCAGCCAGCCCTAAGCCATAATAAGAGTTTTACATAGTTAAACTCTGCATTGTGAAGTTTGAGTTTAAACTTGACATTGTAATTTAACACCGGTCTTAAACTCGGCTGGTGATGTGATGTAACGTGAGTGACGTATATATTTATAGTCTAACACAAAAAGGCTATTTTGTCAAAATATCCTTGAAATGTAGTTGTCATTTTTAAATTATTCATGCATTTTGTATCAGAATTTGCTTAGAGAATAAATTAAATAGCTTACTGTAGAAATTTTGCACCAAGGTCATCATACAAGGTCATTTTTGATAAGTTTTTACATTGCAATGCTTTTAAAATAATTTGATATTTTGATCAATTTTGAATTTCCATGTTGATTTGTAATTGAAACAAAATAATAAAGGATGAATTGGTTCTATGAATAAAATAACTATCATAATGAGTAGGGGTGACAAAAATTTGTATTAGGACAAAGATTAAACATAATTTTTTAAAATCAAATAGAATATAAAAAAAGATATTCTACAGTCTTATTATGCTAACTTGTCGGCCTAAGAGAATCTATCACGTCGTTTCGTCCCGTAGGTGTCGTAAGAGATGACTAAGGAATATGCCAGATAAATCTTTACGCTAGACGTAAAATACCCGTAGACCTGCGGCGGGCAACTGCGTAAAATGTGCCAGACGTCTGGCACTGCGATCGTTAACCGGTACAGTGCGGATGGCACGCCCGGCGTGCCATCGATTACTTTTGTGTGTGGCGTATGACACACGAGTCGTGTCTTTTTAAAAATCGTTATAACTTGCTCAAATTGCGTTTTTGGAAAATTTGTCCAGAACAAAATAGTCATTATTTTGTAAGTAATCCATGCCTGCGGCTTCTTTTCTGGATATTTTGAAAATTGGAATTTTTTGGGGTTGACAACCTTTTTTTAACTTGTACATGGTACTCTTTTTACTTTGTGGGTTTTCAATCATGTTGTGGAAAAATAGTCTAATAAGTAACAAATAATAGCACTCCTTGCGATCGCTCACAAACTCAAGTTGTAAATAAATTTCTGGAAAACTAGTCTCCTGTTAAAAAAAAATCCGTTTGTCTTATTGTTTCATTTTGCTTAAAATAGTTGAACTGCCGTCTTATTACTATCATATGGCCGAATAGACCTACGAAGTACCATGTGCTCTTGTGATATGGTATAAGGTTTATTTTTGCTTGAAACAGTTTGATACCGTTCATGCATAAAAAAAGGTCGCTAATAAATAGTCTTTTGTCAATCCGCCGCAGTATAGCGCCGGCGTTTGTTTCCTTTTGAAAACACTTGTTTTGCTATTCTTACTAATTAGACGTTTTCAAATCTTCTTTATTTTTACATTTGTATAACATTAAATAATATTTAACATTATTGTAAATATTAATGAATCATAAACCTTATTTTTTTCTAAATTAAGTTTCTTGATTGTTTGATATTTACAAATATTATTATTAGGTGAAAATTTAATGTAATAAAAACCAAGGTTTTCCAGGATGATTTAGCTGTACCTAGTTATAAATGATTTTTTTATAAAACCAAAAATGGTACAAAATGTTTGTAATCTCTGCATAACAAAAGTCACTCTCAATTTCAAATAAAACACGTACGTTAGTGTGTAAACACTAAAAACAAGTATCCTTCCGTTTGTAACTGATGTTTGATGTCAACTAAACTTAATTAGGTCTAAATAAGTGAAAAACGCATAAAAAAGATAAAATGAAAAAAATTTGGAAGAGATTAGAGTAGCAATAAATAATAAGGTTTTAGGTTTAAGAGAAAACCTATTTATCTTAAAAATTATGTGTAAAACAAAAGCCTCAGACAGTAGAAAAACAGAAAGTTCTATAAATGAACGCAAAAATTTAAGCTCCAGATATTTTTTTCCTAACTTTGTTGAATTATATTATGATGTTGTTATGCTAAAAGATTTATTATTGACAGTTTTAATTATTTATTAATGCGTGCTTTATAACAACACCCAAGGCATTCCTTTGTCTTTTCCTACCTTCTAAAAGTTTTATGATATTGATTTTTAAGTTTCTATCTGTGCTTACTTAGTTGATTTAAATTAGTTTGACTTAAAAACATAGTTTTCTAACTATTTTCTACCGATTTCAAAAAGGAGACGGTACACAATTCGACTGTTTTTTTAATGTGTGTTACCTCATAACTTTTTTCTGGGTGAACCGATTTCGATGATTTTTTTAATTTGAAAGCTGGTGCTTCTCATGTGGTCCTATATAAATTTGATCAAGGTCTGACCAAAAGTTTTTGAGTTATTCTTAATATTTTATATTGAAGTCGGTTGTACAAAATTTTTTATTATAGCAAAAGAATTTATTTTATTTTTCTCATCTACAAATACTATCAGAGTATAGTTTGAGCTGAGCCTCGTCGCACCGCGTGTAGGCACTATTATTTATTTTGTGGTGATGTTGAAATTGACTTTTTAAAGGAAAAGTTTGTGTATTTATTCATAATTACACCATTTTAACGTGTATTCATTCCTCTTTACACCATTTTAATTCTTTTGTACTATACGCATATATGCTACGTACCATATATAGAGCGATACTTAAAATGAAAAAAGCGTGTGCTTTAATTAAATAATGACGGAAGCTGATTAATCACTGGCTCATGTAACTTTAAAACTGTCTAACCGTCAACTTTGATAGAGCACCAAAGTTTTCTATTTTAATTTTTAATCGACTTCAAAAAAAGGAAGAGGTACTCAATTCGATTGTATTTTTTTATGTGTCAGAAGTTTTTTCTAAATGAACCGATTTTGATGATTCTTTTTTTTATTTGAAAGCTGGTGCTTCTCATGAGGTCCAATATCAAGATCCGACCAGTAGTTTTGGAGGTATCCTTAATAATGCGTATTTAATTGACTTCCGACTACTAGGATGATTTTTAATATTTTTTTAAAAAATTTAAATTTACCACATGTGTTATCAGAAACATGCCCGTTAAACTATTAAATAAAGGTAGTATTATCATAATGTGTGTAATAATTTTATTACACACATGGTAGTGCCACTGTCGGTCATTTCTAATGGGTGATAATTGCCGCAATTGTCACGCAGTATAAAATAGCACACGCAAAAAAGTTTATTATGCCTAGTATTCTGTTAACGTGTATATTACTAAAACAAATAATCACATCTATTTCGTATATTAGCTGCTATTTATTTCCTTACCTTCATCTTCTTATAAACGGTCTTTTTTTATAGGATAAGGGTGACAAACGAGCACACAGTCCAACTGATGGTAAGTAAGTAGATGCTGTGGCCCATACATTTATCCTCAATTAAGAATCAAAATGCGGATGCGTTGTCACACCTGAGGACTGAGATGGTATGCCTCGTTTTCATTAAAAAGGGTCTCCGGTACTCTATACTCACCATACGAAACACAGCAGCATCAAGCTGCTATTTTACGCTTTTATTCTGTGAGAGTTTCCCACATGTCAGTTTTAACGAAATGATTTCCTTCAACGCCGAGCACGTGTAAACTAAATCACTTTTTAAAATTACAATCGATAATTACATTGGCGCCGGCGCGGCGCCCGGTGGGATCGATCTCGGGTCTCTCGCGTACTATGAAATTTACGACGACCGTTTAGCCCTTGAGCTACCTACCACTGCTCTCATGTGATTTAATATTACGTTGGTATCTATCTACAAACAGCTGATTAGAATGTTACCTATTACGAAGTGCATGATTCCTTTTTTCATTTTTTTTTTGTAAACTACATACAGGTATTTTGCAATGTACGGCCAAATTTGCAGAGAAAGTTTAGAATAAGTAATATAGGTAAATGGTGAAGAAAAATTTATTAAAAATAATCTCAAACAATCTGTCCTTTTATCTTTTAAATTCAAAATGCGTGGTAGGTATAATGCATTATTTAAACTTATTTTAGTGCGCACGCACACTTTCGTGGGCAAAAAGGGTCGATCAGTGGGCAAAAATGTTACACATATATACGATATTAATTATACGTCAAGCTTGAAATTTTACGGAATATGATTTAGGTACTCAATTAAAGTTTTATTTCAGTCTCCTACCGAAGATTATAAATGGCAGCATCGCAGGCATCGTCGGTGTTTCGGTGGTGTTCCCACTGGATCTGGTTAAGACGCGGCTGCAGAACCAAACCGTAGGACCTAAAGGCGAGAAACAGTATAAGAGTATGTAAGTAATTTACTGATTAGTTATCTAGCAAAAATTGCATAGCCACTAAGGTCCGAGAGCAAATCGGTTTCTTGAATGTACGGGGAGCGCGGTTCAATGCATACATCACAATATTATGATGTATGACATCATTATTAGGCATAAGAATTGTTATGATATGTTTGTTGATTGCATAGGTATAGGGTAAAGTTCTAACGGCTTATGTTTACACCGTAAAATATCAATTTAAATATTGTAAAATTATTATCAAGTAAATAGAAGAAAAAAAATGTTAAGTAAGAACCCACATAATATATTCCAGGCATTTTATTTCTGAGAGGGATTTAAGAAGGAATGCGTTGTCTAGTGTGATTTAGCGGACTTTACCAGTCATCAAATTATTTTTAACTTAGACATGCTGGGTTTACTCTTTAAATTTTTACCACCAAACACATGCAAAATCAGAGAAGGTTGAAATACTAGCTGTAGCCAACTTTTGATCAAAATGGCAAATTGTTCGTCTCGGGTAAACGCTGTGATTATATTCTCTTTGGTCTCGGGTATGGTGGTGGTCAACAATAATGTTGTGAAAGGACCCTTGACGTAGACACTGCATTCTAACTACCTTCGACATTAATATGCTTTACAGTAAGTAACACACGTAAGTATGAATAATGTCTTCCTTGTAATGTACCTAAAGTAATGGATTATTTGACAGCGTCTGTGTTTCCGTCCTAGTACAATGTGGGTTTCTTCAAGACAACACTGATTTTTAGAGACAGTGCGATTTACTATCTAGAGCTTTATCACCGCTGACCATCAGGTGGGTTTCTAGTCAAGCACTGGCTTATTAACAATAGTGTCATTGTGATGAGCTTTCTCTACCACCACTATAATATTTATACTATTGAATCAATAGCCTTAGATTATCTATATCTATACAAATAAATAAAATTGAAGTGGCTGTTTGTAATATTAAAATAAGTGCTTTTTACTAAATACATATGAAAGTGTATACGGTACTTAAAACAAAAACACAATTTTTAAAATTTTTGTCTGTCTGTCTGTCTGTTTGTTTGTTCAGGCTAATCTCCGAAGTGGCTGGACCGATTTTTATGGGACTTTCACTGGCAGATAGCTGATGTTATAAGGAGTAACTTAGGCTACTTTTATTTTAGAAAAAGAAAAATAAAAAGATGAAATCAGTGTACAAAAAATTTATTAACGTCAGTAGTGCCAGCGGGAATCAAACTTGAGTTGCTTACACTACTAAATTCAATGGAACACCTAACCCCTGAGCTGCAACGGCTCTCTTATTAGCAATATTTTCAGTTTTCTTTATCTTCAGTTGCATTTTTACTTAGTTTCGAGATCGCTTCTTCATAACAACATCACAATTTAGTGTTACTTGAATTCTAGTACAAAGTAGCACCATATAACACTTCTATGATTTTTTTTATCATAAGTGGCGATGATTACAAAAAATAAGTTACAGTATATACATAATATATGCATCCTGCAGCTGGGCACAGGCCTCTCATTTCGAAGAAGGTTATGGAACCTGTCCGCCACGGTGCTCCAGTGCACGTTGGGGAACTTTACATGATCTCGAAAATGTTCTCAGTGCTTTAAATCGGTATTTAAAATTGTATGTAACAATTTCTCTGATGTCGACAGTGATCGTACTCTGATAAGTCACGTACTATGAAATATACGGCGACGCCGTTAGCTGAGCACCTGAGCTGCTAACACGGCTATCTAACCCCTCCCCCTTCACTTTTAGTCAATTAATAAAATAACTAAAATTTTGATAACAAGTAAAAAGGAGTGCAGAGATACATTTTCATACTTTTAATACATTTTTCGTCTTTCTATCTGCTTTATCTTTATACGTTAAAGTTGCGTTTTCTGACGTGAATATAGTAATTTGAATTTTATTAGCATTACTTAGTATGATAAGGAGACTCTTATAGTAACAGCATGCTTCGATATACATAATATTATATAAAAAATAGATAATACATTTACCCATCTCATCATAATGTCATCATTTTATAGTGACCTTTATTCCAGATTTCGTATTTGTTGCTATTTGTTTTATTTTGTTTGTATAATTAAGTTACGCTATTTGTGTAAATAATTTCTCAGTCTCTTCTCCAATAATTCCTTATGAAGTGTCCCTCACCGCCGAACACGCGGTAACACGGCTCTTTGCATAATATATTATTATTTATTATACATGTATAAAATGTAAATAAAAAACCATTTCCATTATGGTTTTCAGTCCGGGTTTCTTACCTTGTGTTTGCGCATTCTTTTTCGCGTCAATTTTATATACTTAAACTAATTATTACATTAGAGATTATTTCTTACGTCAGAGTAGTACTACACGCGGGTGCAGTGTCCGAATCCTAATTGGGAGACTACTTTAGTGCATAAATACATCGTCAATATTTGACTCAGAATAATAAGGGATTTTTGTTATCTCTGGCGCTATCTGCGCTTCAGAAGTCCGCTGCTGAACATAGGCCTCCCCCAAGAATATTCACAAAAAAAACGGTCGTGATACTAAGTGACCCGCATCTGGTTTTTATTTCATAAGCGTTACATCGGATACAGGAGGGTGATAGTTAGGCTTGCCAACCGTCCCTGATTTTCCGGGACGTCCCGCTTTTGGGTAAATTTTAGGCCGTCCCGCCGTGACCCAATGCTGGACGGCTTTTGTCCCGGAAATCAGTGATTATATGATATTAGTATCTATATCGTATCAACTACACTAATTTGTTACACATTATTAATTTTTTTTAACCAATTTGTATGTGGTATGTTTAATATATCCAAGTCCCGGATGTCGATCTGGGTTTTCCCGGAAATGCCTTTTTTGGAGTTGGCAAGCCTAGTGATAGTGTTACCGAGTACACTTATTGCGCTGTATATGCCTTGAGCAATGCTTCCGATATAATTTGGAAGCTGTTGCCATGGTCATCCTGCCAGTAGTCATTATCATCATTAGAATTACTCATCAATGACGTACATGTGAATTTCGATTTTAGATACCTACTGTGTAGACATTTTTATTAACAACCGAAAATAATAAAGAAACTGCTGTTGACAAAATGCCTGCCAAGCATGGCAACTATGGCAAAATCTTTTTATTAGCCCATCTATGAGGGAGAGCTGTAACAATAGATGATAATGAATTATATGTATAATGTGATTCGTTCCTATGTAGGTTAGATTGTTTCAAAAAAACTTATGCGGCGGAGGGCTACTTCGGAATGTACAGAGGTTCTGCAGTCAATATTCTGCTCATCACGCCAGAGAAAGCAATCAAGCTAGCTGCAAACGACATGTTCCGGTTCTATCTCACTCTTCCTGATGGGTAAGATTTCTATTTTTTAAATAATGTATACATACCTACATAACAAAAATAGAAATATATTATATGTATTTGTATATAAACATATAAAAAAAATAAACTTTCTCTCACTCTCGCTCTCTCTTCAGATAGCGAATAATACATGTTAATCGTATATCATGATTAATTAGTTCAATAAAAACCCTTGTCACAAATCACTATTTATCACTTGCAAAATATTATCAATATCACAACGAGTAATCAAACATACACTTGTCGAGATAACGATCTCTGATATCTTCGTGTCACTGACAATATTAATATGTTAGCATAGGGCAAACCCCCGATAAACATGAAATTTTATATAGTAAATTTTATATATTATTTCATTCATATTTATTACGTACTTTTGTGTTATTTAACCAGTCCAATGGTTAAAATAGTAATTTAAAAAAAACCTGATTGCATAAAAATCTTTAGTGAAAAGAGAAAAGTCGCACATCCTATGTCACTTCCACAACTCAGACAAATCTAGCGACGCCCCAGAACGTTAAGATCCATCCAGCCGTTTAGGCTACAGAGCGTGAAATCAACAAACTCTCATACATACATATACATTTAATTTTATACGTGGTAAACATCGATCACTAATAAAAAACTAGATACACAATTAGTGACAAAAAATGTCCTTACTGAATGAGCGCCCACTCGAATATTTGGGTGCGCTTTTAATTTGTACCTAGCTTTGTGAATACAACAATTAATATGTATATTTATTTCAACTAGAATTACATCAAAACAATTGGCGACAGTTTTAGAGGACTTTTGCATGGGATTGTGTATCTAGTTTTTTATTAGTGATCGACGGTGGTAGAGCCATGCTTCAGCCATATATCTGGTAAAGTTGTAGCACGAATGGGCCGGCTCGACCGGGAAGGACCACGCATTCACAGAATACCAGGGTCGAACAGAAAAATAATACTGATGTGTTACGTATGGTGAGTGTACAGAGTACCGGAGACGCTTTTTAGTGGCAACAAGGCAATCCAGTCCTTCACACTGCTGGCCGGATGAGTAATCTCAAATCAAGGTCGCTCACCGAGCTATGGAGAGGGCTATGCTGGGAGTTTCTCTGCGTGATAAACTTAGAAATGAGGATATCCGTAGTAGAACCAGAGTGACCGACATAGCCCAACCGGTTAGTAAGCCTAAGTAGCAATGGGCCGGCCATATAGCTCCAAGAACCGACAACCGATGGGGGAAAAAGGTTCTCGAGGGGCGGCCTCGTACCGGCGGACGAAGTGTAGGGCGTCCCCCCACTAGATGGAGTGACGACCTGGTATGACATGCAGGAAGTCGATGGATGCAAGTGGCTCAGAATCGTGCTTTGTGGCATTCCTTAGGGGAGGCCTATGTCTAGCTGTGAACTTGTGAAGGGCTGTAATGATGATGATGAAGTAAGCCAATAACTTTTTTTTAGATCACTACCTGTAGTACGTCAGATGGCAGCTGGTGGATTGGCCGGTGCCTGTCAGATCATCATCACCACGCCCATGGAGCTGCTTAAAATTCAGATGCAAGACGCGGGTCGAATAGCAGCGCAAGCTAAAGCTGGTAATTTGATTTTTGATTTTGAACCATAGACCCTACCGTGTTGAGGCAATGCTCGACATTGTGCTCGAGGGGAGTTGAAGACAATTTTCAAAAAAGGATAATAAAAGACGGCATTATAATTAGTGCTGTTTTTTAGTAATTAACTGGCTGGTAGCTACTAGCCGGCACGTCACGTCACTGTCGAAGAAGAAATAATTGTGGAAATACCATTTTAAGTTTAGAAGAATTATATATATATAGGTATAATATATAAATACGGAATATAAATTTTAGGTATAATATAAATATTTAATTTTGTAATGGATCAGTGTTGTCTGTATCAAATAAATTATTATTATTAGGGTGAGTGGGGGAAGATGAAAAACGGGGTAACACAAAAAGGCATCAGTAAAGACATATTTTGTGTAATTTATCCAATGCAGGCCACATTCATAAGTCCGCCATTTTATTACGTACCACACCAAAGTCGGCACTTGTCGTTTTAAGGGGTCGGTTATGTTTTATGAGGGAATATCTACGCTGTGAATTTTATGCGAGCAAGTCGGGTGTTTTAATCTTACCCCGTGTCGTGTAACTTGATTTACGAGGTAGGTACGAGTTTTTTATTTGTATACATACTTATTATTTTTAATTGGTAGTTATGTTGCTATGTCTAAATATCGCTACTTTTTGGATTTTAGAATTTATTGTAACATTCCGTCTTTACCCGCCAAATATTTGACGGGGTAAGATAAACATAATATAAAAGTTTCCATCTTGCCCCATTTTCAAAAGTCATACAAATGGTCTCATGTTCTCAAACAGTACCTGAAAAAATGTTTTGTTTTGTTACAGCCATTATAAGTATCAATTATCAGCGGCACAATTTCAGCTAATATTATCTAAAGGTATTTATTTTAATTTTTGTATATTATAAGAGAGGCAAGCGTGTCACCTGATGGCTAAGTGATTTCATCGCTGCCCATAGACACAAGAAACAACAGGAGTGTTACTTGTGCGTTGCCTTCTCATAAGGTATAGGAACAGGATTCGTAGGAATGGGAGTAGGAACTTAAAGAAAGGGGAAAGATATATATTATATATCCATCTTTCCCCGGCGGGGCAAGATTGAAATATAAAAAACAAATAAGTTGTGTTATCTGTGTTATTTGAAGGTATTTTGATATTATAGACAGTTCTGAAGTGTCAGGACAATTAAAATTGTAGCCTACTGACCGTCAATATCGTCTGACATTCATTTGAACGATTTTAGAAACTACTTCGATCTTCCCCCACCACTCTTTCATCTTTCCCCTGTTTTTTTCTTTCGATAAAAATATTGTAATTATTTTTTTTTTGCTTTCGTATAAATATAACAGGGATTTATCGATATGATATAAAAATATGCTCTTTGTACTTTATTCACTATAGATATAATTTTAGCTTAAGTTAATATGTACTCTTCTACAAGACGTCAAACACAACACTGCTCATCTCATCAAAAAACCGTTCGATCTTCCCCCCACTCACCCTATATTGTTTATAATTAGGAATTGAATGATATATAACTTTCAAATATCGGAACGCAAGTGCAAACAATAAGTTGACAAAGTTTTACCGCAATCTGGTGAACGGAATGGCAGCGCATAAAATACGAACAAACAAAGATTAAGTTTTATATATTAGATTTTATATTAGATTCCGTGTAGTGGCGGTCAAGAATACCACTACCCCATATCCTCCCGTGGGTCGTAAAAGGCGACAAAGGGAAACAGGCAGGAGATGGGCAGCAGCATCTTCCTGATAATAGCCAGACAATAAAAAAACTGCGGTTGCCAACCCGCCCGCCAAGCGTGGCAACTATGGCAAATACCCCCCTATGAATGTAACAAAGAGACGGCCCCCAGTCCCCGGCGGCCCCGCTATTCCTGGCTACGGTGGCGACCATGGTAACGGCGGGGCAGGGGGTGCTAAGAATCTCCGGTTTAGGTTCGGTTGCCACCTTAGACGACTCGACCTGGCAACGTACAACGCACGCACCCTGAGGACTGACGAGAAGATCGTGGAGCTGGAAGAAGAGATAGACAAGTTGCGCTGGCATATTATAGGATTATCCGAAGTCCGAAGAGAGGGGGAGGACACGGTAATCCTCGAATCCGGCAACTTGCTCTATCACCGGGAGGGCGACCATCTGTCCCAAGGAGGTGTCGGATTTATCGTCCACAAGTCTCTCGTTAACAACGTTGTAAAGATCGGGAGTGTGTCGACGAGGGTTGCGTACCTTATACTCAGAATCACCAAACGGTATTCGCTGAAGGTCATACAGGTTTACGCACCAACCTCGGCACACCCCGATGGGGAGGTGGAGGAAATGTATGAGGATATCTCTAGAGCCATGCATTCCTCCAAAACCCAATATACGGTGTTAATGGGAGACTTCAATGCAAAACTAGGCACAAGAGAGAACGGTGAGCTGAAGGTGGGGAAATTTGGAATAGGGCAACGGAACCCAAGGGGCCAGCAGCTGGCCGACTTCATGGAGAAAGAGGGACTCTTTATGATGAACTCTTTCTTCCAGAAGCGGCCCCACAGGAAGTGGACCTGGTCGAGCCCCGACGGTTCGACAAAAAATGAGATTGACTTCATTATGACGACCAGACGACAACTGTTCAGTGATGTCTCCGTGATCGCGAGGGTGAAAACTGGTAGCGATCACCGAATGGTTAGAGGCACACTGAACCTAAACGTTAAGTTGGAGAGGTCTCGTCTAATGAAGTCAACGCTCCGTCCCCCTCGTGCTCTGTTCCAAAGTCCCGAGACCTTTCAGCTCGAGTTACAAAACTGTTTTCAGTGCCTAGAAGACTGCAATGAAGTGGATGATTTGAATGACAAGCTCGTGGAAACTGTCCATGCGGTCGGAGCTAAGTTCTGCAAGACCCGCCGCAGAAGAACACAAAAACTCTCCGATCACACTCTTAATCTCATGGCTGTTAGACGGGAGATGAAACTACATTCTTCAACAGACTTGACAGCATACAGGCATCTGAACAGACAGATCTCCAAATGCATGCGGCGGGACTTACGCAACTTCAATACAGCTCGTATTGAAGAAGCGATCGAGCGGAACCAAGGCTCCAAAGTCTTTGCCAGAGATCTGTCTGCCAGAAAGAGCCACCTGTCAAAGCTGAAGACCGAATGTGGCAGCATCGTTTCCGGGACACCTGAGATTTTGAGTGAGATTGAGAGGTTCTATGGGCAGCTGTACACGTCATCGTTGGAGCCACACGCAAGTGTGAGTAACGATCCAAGAGCGAGTCTCATCCGACACTATTCCGAAGATATCCCGGACGTCAGTCTGAGCGAGATTAGAATGGCTCTCCAGCACCTTAAAAACGGTAAGGCCCCAGTCGAGGATGGAATTACAGCGGAGCTTCTGAAAGCGGGTGGAAGACCGGTACTTGAAGTCCTTCAGAAGCTCTTTAATTCCGTCCTCTATGGTGGCATTACACCGGAGGCGTGGAGCAGAAGTGCGGTGGTCTTGTTCTTCAAGAAAGGTGACAACGCTCTCTTGAAGAACTACAGACCGATTTCCCTTCTGAGCCGCGTCTACGTGCTGTTTTCGAGAGTCATTACGAATCGTCTCGCGCGCAGACTTGACGACTTCCAGCCTCCCGAACAAGCCGGTTTCCGAAAGGGCTTTAGCACTATAGACCACATACATACCCTTCGGCAAATTGTACAGAAGTCCGAAGAGTACAATTTGCCACTATGTCTGGCGTATGTGGACTATGAGAAAGCCTTTGATTCCGTCGAAATTTGGGCGGTGCTGCAGTCCCTTCAGCGGTGCCAAGTTGACTGTCGGTATATCGAAGTGTTGAAGTGCTTGTACAGTAGGGCTACGATGGCTATCCGAGTACAGAACCAGAGTACGAAACCTATCCAATTGCAGAGAGGTGTAAGACAGGGTGACGTCATATCCCCGAAACTCTTCACCGCTGCATTGGAAGACGTTTTCAAGCTTCTGGACTGGAAAGGATACGGTATCAACATCAATGGCGAGTACATCACTCACCTTCGGTTTGCCGACGATATAGTCCTTATGGCAGAATCGCTGGAGGACCTAAGCACTATGCTCAATGACCTCGATAGTGTTTCCCAACGGATAGGTCTTAAGATGAACATGGACAAAACAGAGATCATGTTCAATGTCCATGTCACACCTATGCCGGTAGTTGTTGGGAACACTAAGCTCGAAGTTGTTGACGAGTATGTTTACCTGGGACAAATAGTCCGACTAGGTAAGTCCAACTTCGACCGAGAGGTCAATCGACGGATTCAACTCGGCTGGGCAGCGTTCGGGAAGCTACGACACATCTTCTCGTCAGACATACCTCAAAACCTGAAAACGAAATTGTACAACCAGTGCGTGTTGCCAGTGATGACTTATGGAACTGAGACGTGGTCCTTCACTGCTGGCCGTATGAGGAAGCTCAAGGTCGCTCAGCGAGCTATGGAGAGGGCTATGCTCGGAGTTTCTCTGCGTGATAAACTTAGGAATGAGGATATCCGCAGTAGAACCAGAGTAACCGACATAGCCCAACGGATTAGTAAGCTGAAGTGGCAGTGGGCCGGCCATATAGCTCGAAGAACCGACAACCGATGGGGAATAAAGGTTCTCGAGTGGCAGCCTCGTACCGGTAGGCGAAGTGTAGGGCGTCCCCCCACGAGATGGAGTGACGACCTGGTAAGACATGCAGGAAGTCGATGGATGCAGGTGGCTCAGGACCGTGCTTTGTGGCATTCTTTGGGGGAGGCCTATGTTCAGCAGTGGACTTGTGAAGGGCTGTAATGATGATGATATTAGATAATCTCGCTTATAAAATTTTATGCCATTTTTAGGGTTCCGTAGTTAAACAACAAGGAACCCTTATAGTTTCGCCATGTCCGTCCGTCCGTGCGTTCGTCCGCAGTTTTGCTTAGACGCCCTATGTGCTACTAAATTGTAAAAAAAAACATTTTTATTTTATCTACAAATCATCCTTCATTTACCTGTAGGGAACAGGTAAATGAAGGAAGGAATGAAAACAACTCCATAGAAAATGACCTAAAACTAGCTGCATTATAACTTTGTAATGTTATTGTAAACTGTAAGAAATAAACATTTTATGAAGAAACTACTTATTTGCATTACTTCTATAGCTTTACTTTTTCCTATGGGGGATAGGCAGGGCTTTCATACTTCTACTTTCGCTTATTTTTTAGTTGGTAGCTATTGTCATACAATCAAATAACCTCATACAGTTTCATTCGTGGTACTCCTGGTTTACACGGGCGAACCTTAGGATAATTTAGGGCAGTGAAGTTTTACGGGAAGATTCGTTACGGTGACATATATCTTAGGGTTCCACTGCCGTGAATATATAGATAGATAGTCCAAATACGACCATCTTTGTACGAACTTGGTATGTTAATGATTTGATGATTGTATTATTTTCAAAATATATTTTTTTAATCATTTTTGAATACCATTCCCTATAAGTCAGATTGGAAAATAAGTCCTTCAGTTACCATCGTCCTATTTAGGCCCATTTTAGTCGTTATAGCGGTCAAATCGCGAACTCACTAATATGATCATTATCAAGAAAACCCAGACGGGCAACTATGGAACCCTACCTATACATTGTGCGTGGCCCGACACGCACTTGGCCAGTTTTTATTATTATTGATAAATAATCTCACTTATAAAATTTAGTGCCTTTTTTTTATTAACGACGTGCGTTTACCTAGCTACATCCATGATAAATATCTATTTATATCCAACTATCTTTACAGGATAGTTGTACTGCCATCTGTCAGTGATCGCATTGTTATAAGCAACTCTTGCAATATCCATAAAGAAAGGGTTAAATATTTAATTTTTCTGTTTCAGAGGGCCGTCAAATAGAACGTATAACGGCGACACAGCTCACTAAAAAGCTGCTCAGAGAGCGCGGTATATTCGGTCTTTACAAGGGAATCACCGCGACCGCTTTTCGGGACGTCTCCTTCAGCATCGTTTATTTCCCGTTGTTCGCCGCGCTCAACAACCTCGGATCTAAGGACTCCCGTGGACCGCCTTTTTGGTAACTATTTTATTTCTATAATTTTTTCTTAGGTTTTTTATGAGGAAAGCCGTCTGGCGGAGCAAGGATGAGGACTCGCACCGACTCAATAGTGTTCTATCTTTGCCGCATATCGGCAACGCTTTCACGCACAACCAGCGCCAGCCGAACTTTAGCCTGTGTAGTTCACAAACAATATACAATTAGCAAACGTGTCCGAAATAATCTCAGGTAATATCGCTCATCATTCTATTAGTTCATTTTGTTGAGAGCAAGTGTACGCACCGATGAGCCCATGACTAAAATAATAACTCTCCTATGTTGGCGTGACGTACGATGCTGCCTAGCGCTTAGTAGGTAATATTAATAAAGGGTCGTCGGAGAGGGCAGAACAACGTCTGCCTGGCCAGCTAGTATGACGTAAAATTTAAACAAACTACAAAAATGGATTTTCTTCCGCTGCACTGCCTCAAAACATATTAATGGACCTCTCAACTTCAGATTCCCTCGAAATATTTAAGTTTCACCACCATGTTTTTCTTCATCGTTGAGTAAATAATAAATTAGCACTAAATTGCGACCGAAATTTCATCGGCGAGGAACTCTGTATACTCACGGATTAGAAAATTTTAGGACCATGCTTGTAATCAATAAACTTTCAACGTTTTCAGTCTTTATGAATAAGATATGGTAATCCTTGCAAATATTATTTTACAGGTGGTCATTCATTGCTGGCTGCGCTTCTGGTTCAGTATCGGCGCTGGTAGTAAACCCAATGGATGTTGTGAAGACGCGAATGCAGACACTTACTAAGGGCACCGGTGAACGGCAGTACTCCTCCATATTGGATTGTGTAGTGTAAGTACCATTTAATAGTAAAGATGAGACTGTTTTTACATATTTTTTTATTATCATCGTACAGCTGCTTTGTTACAGAATGGGGGTAACAAACAAGCACACAGACTACCTGATGGGTAAATGGATGCTGTGGCCCATAGACATCAACATTTATCTTCAATTAAAAATCAAAATGCAGATGTGTTGTCACTCCTGAGAACTACGATGGAATGCCTCGTTTCCATTAAATAGGGTCTCCGGTTCTCTACACTCACTATACGAAACACAGCAGCATTAAGCTGCTATTATATGCTGGTACTCTGTGAGAGTGTTTTCCTTCCCCTGTCGAGTCGGCCCATTCGTGCTACAACCATAATATAGTTGCTCTACCAGGTACAAATAAAAAATACTATGCTTCATTTAAATATATTAATATTTCAATAAAATGTTTTATTTTCCTTTTTACAGAACGACAATGAAACACGAAGGTCCAACGGCTTTCTTCAAAGGTGGGGCGTGCCGTATGATGGTTATCGCTCCACTGTTCGGTATAGCCCAGGCTGTATATTACATAGGCATAGGAGAGGCAATACTAGGTCTCAAGCCTTAAGTTCATCTAGCTCAATGTATATTTTGTTGTACCCTTGGCTCTAAGAGCTTTTGTTAATTTAGTTATACGCTTTGAAAAAGACCGTTTATTGTTGCTTAGTTATGTTGTAACAACAAGGTTCCTGAAATGATATAAACGCATAGTGTGTTACAAAGCTTTGACAAACTGTTTTTTTGATGACTTATAACAGCTTTTATTGTTATGTTAATGTTATGCTATAACTATCTCGTTGATCTAATAGTTGTGAGCACAACTGCTGCTCATATGATCCCTGGTTCGAACCGACCGGGCTGGTCACATGGGCTTCTGTCAAACAATTCTCAGTAGCCAGGAAATGTGCGACTACCTTGCCTCGAAAACCTCTTAAAACCCTTGGTCCTGTGTCTGATTTCTCTCCGTTCTTATTGAATTGCCGTCCTATTGGACTATGAGGGTGAGGGAATGGATAGTGAGTGCACCTATGCTTGCGCACACACTTGTGCGCTTTACTGTCTAGTCTCCGTTGAAATAGAACAACACAACATAGAACATATTATGAGAAAATTAAAGATGATAGGTACAACACTCTCCTATCTTCTTTAATTTCTCATATGTTCCGTTCTGAAAGTTGTAAAAAATTAAAGGAAAGTATTTCTCTTACAACTTTTGCGTTTAGCATAAACTGTGTTTCAAATAGACCATAGTTAAAAATAATTACTTTGTTAAAAACAAATAAAATATTGGGATGAGTAACCTCGATCTCGACTTCAATAAAAGGAGGATGTTCTCAATTCGACTGTATATTTTTATGTGTGTTACATCCCATATAAATTTGATCAAGATCTGACCAATAGTTTTTGAGTTATCCTTAATAATGCGTATTTAATTGACTTCGACTACATTGATAAATTTCTCATTTTATTTATATAGAAGTCGGTTGTACAAAATTTTTAATTTTGTCACTTGTAATTATTTGACTTGACATCGTTGTTGGAAAAACGGCGATGGGTGAACCTATGACATGAAAACCGTAGGTGACACCGAATCTGTCTGTCACTGTCACCGAATCTGTCGAAACAATCTGTGTCACCTGGCATTGAGATATGAAATTAAAATAATTGAATTTTAATTTTTACAACAGTTGTGGAGCAAAATGTAAAAAGTTTCACCAAGCCATGCCGTGGTCTAGGTAGTATAATATTATGAGCGTCATCTTTTTGAACATGCCCATGATCATGTCGCTCCTGTCGTGGGGAGCATTTGCTTTGTTCAGTGTTGTTGGTTATTCAAAAATAGTTTCATTTAACATTGGTGTACATGCATAAAGGATAAATACAGTATGTTTAAATTATCAACAAACTAAAAATTTACTTGCCAATGGATATGACTATTTGACAATTTAAATTAATAAATAATACCATAAAAAGAATTTCCTAATAAATATTAGAACAGTTTTCAAAACATCAATTACAAATGTGTACAAATCCTTCAATACTCACTTATAAGTAATGAGCCTTGATATTGTTTGAAAGACATTGTGAAAGTATTTATTTGAAAGGAAATGTTTTTAATTTATATAAGCGTATTAAATTTTAAATGGTATTAGCCAAATATATTAATTATATATCATTTTAAAAACGTTCTAACTTATTTGATTTTTAGATTAATCATTAAATAGTAAATGCTTTTATCTTCTTTTTCTACAGCCTGTTTTGGACATACACTATTCTAGGAATGCTCCAGTTGGCATGTATTTCTTGAAAGAGTTGCTTAAACGAATATCACAATCAGTGTTGCCACTTAGCCACTTTTTTAGCTAGATCCAGCAACATTTTAAGCTGAATTGAGTTATTATTACAAATATTATTTACATAGCTTTTTCAACTACTTTTAGTGAAAATGAATTAATGTGTTTTGTAGTAAATCATGTATCTATTTGGTTTAATTTTAAGCTGTGATTTAATATACTCTCTTATAGGATTATACTTGCATTGTGGCCCTTAGCTAGCAGGTAAAATGTTATTTTAAATAACGAACAGTACTTCCAGAAGTGCTTTCAATTCTTGATGCAATTATTAGTGTGATGTGTAGAAAATGTAACAATAGTTATTACTTATTCAAATAATGAATTGACAATAATCCAACATGAAATACAAATTGTGTGTAAGTTTAACGTTACTCGAATTATTATGTCAATTTGATGACATTTAAGACGAAATATAATTTCGATTAGATGTTCAAACTGCTTGAATAAATGTTTAAATGAATTAAATTTTTTTTAAAGATCTTCACATTTTTATTTGTTTTAAGATATAGTTTTTCCTATTCCCGATTTTTTTTTTTGTAAAATGGTGGATACGAAAATAGTCAATCGATTCTGATGCATAAAAAATACAAGGCGAATATATACATACATATCGTATGTAATAGTGCTGATGCCGGCGTAGCTCAGAGAACAAACGCTCGCTGTAAATTTCACAGTACGCAAGCAACCCGGTTTCAATCACCGCCGGTACCAATAAATTGTTATTTGCAATTTTAAGTGCTGATTTACCACGTGCTCGGCGGTGAAGAAAAACATCGTGAGGAAACCTGCATGTCTGAGAAATAATAAAGGATGTTTCGAAGATATGTGAAGTTCGCCAACACGCATTGGGGCAACTCGGCGAACACTTCATTGCCCTAAAACCCTCTCAGAAATGAGAGGAGGCCTGTGTCCGGCAGTAGGACGCGTAACTTTAACTTTTTTTAATCGTGCTGATTTAAAAAATGTCCATTGATATACGATAGTTTTTTTTGTAATGTTCTTTACAATGTTTTAAATTACTATGATTAAAAATCATCATCATCATCATTACAACCTTTCACATGTCCACTGCTGAACATAGGCCTCCCCCAAGGAATGCCACAAAGCACGGTCCTGAACCACCTGCATCCATCGACTTCCTGCATGTCTTACCAGGTCGTCACTCCATCTAGTGGGGGGTCGCCCTACACTTCGCCTACCGGTACGAGGCTGCCACTCGAGAACCTTTCTTCCCCATTGGTTGTCGGTTCTTCGAGCTATATGGCCGGCCCACTGCCACTTCAGCTTATTAATCCGTTGGGCTATGTCGGTTACTCTGGTTCTACTGCGGATATCCTCATTTCTAGGTTTATCACGCAGAGAAACCCCGAGCATAGCCCTCTCCATAGCTCACTGAGCGACCTTGAGCTTCCTCATCCGGCCAGCAGTGAAGGACCACGTCTCAGATCCGTAAGTCATCACTGGCAACACGCACTGGTTGTACAATTTCGTTTTAAGGTTTTGAGGTATGTCTCACAAGAAGATGTGTCGTAGTTTCCCGAACGCTGCCCAGCCGAGTTGAATCCGTCGATTGACCTCTCGGTCACCATTTGTCCCAGGTAAACATACTCGTCAACAACTTCAAGCTCAGTGCTCCCAACAACTACCGGCATTGGTGTGACATGGACGTTAAACATGATTTTCGTTTTGTCCATGTTCATCTAAAGACCTATCCTTTGGGAGACACTGTTGAGGTCATTGAGCATAGTGCTTAGGTCCTCCAGCGATTCTGCCATAAGGACTATATCGTCGGCAAATCGAAGGTGAGTGATGTACTCGCCATTGATGTTGATACCGCATTCTTTCCAGTCCAGCAGCTTGAAAACGTCTTCCAATGCAGCGGTGAAGAGTTTCGGGGATATAACGTCACCCTGTCGTACACCTCTCTGCAGTAGGATAGGTTTCGTACTCTGATTCTGTACTCGGATAGCCATCGTAGCTCTACTGTACAAACACTTCAGCACTTCAATATACCGACAGTCAACTTAGCACCGCTGAAGGGACTGCAGCACCGCCCAAATTTCGACGGAATCAAAGGCTTTCTCATAGTCCACATACGCAAGGCAAAGTGGCAGATTATACTCCTCTGTCTTCTGTATAATTTGCCGAAGGGTGTGTATGTGGTCTATGGTACTAAAGCCTTTTCGGATACCTGCTTGTTCAGGAGGCTGGAAGTCGTCAAGTCTGCGTGCGAGACGATTCGTAATGACTCTCGAAAACAGCACGTAGACGCGGCTCAGAAGGGAAATCGGTCTGTAGTTCTTCAAGAGAGCGTTGTCGCCTTTCTTGAAGAACAAGACCACCGCACTTCTGCTCCACGCCTCCGGAGTAGTGCCACTATGGAGGACGGAATTAAAGAGCTTCTAAAGGACTTCAAATACCGGTTTTCCGCCCGCTTTCAAAAGCTCCGCTGTAATTCCATCCTCGCCTGGAAACTTTCCGTTTTTAAGGTGCTGGAGAGCCATTCTAATCTCGCTCAGACTGACGTCCGGGATATCTTCGGAATAGTGTCGGATAAGACTCGCTGTTGGATCGTTACTCACATTTGCGTGTGGCTCCAACGATGACGTGTACAGCTGCCCATAGAACCTCTCAATCTCACTCAAAATCTCAGGTGTCCCGGAAACGATGCTGTCACATTCGTCTTTCATTCGTCTTCAGCTTTGACAGTTGGCTCTTTCTGGCAGACAGATCCCGTGCAGACTTTGGAGCCTTGGTTCCGCTCGATCGCTTCTTCAATACAAGCCGTATTGAAGTTGCGTAAGTCTCGCCGCATGCATTTGGAGATCTGTTTGTTCAGTTGCCTGTATGCTGTCAAATCTGTTGAAGAATGTAGCTTCATCTCCCGTCTAACAGCCATGAGATTAAGAGTGTGATCGGAGAGTTTTTGTGTTCTTCTGCGGCGGGTCTTGCAGAACTTAGCTCCAATCGCATGGACAGTTTCCACGAGCTTGTCATTCATATCGTCCACTTCATTGCAATCTTCTAGGCACTGAAAACGGTTTCGTAGCTCGAGCTGAAAGGTTTCGGGACTTTGGATTAGAGCACGAGGAGGACGGGGCGTTGACTTCATTAGACGTGACCTCTCCAACTTAACGTTTAGGTTTAGTGTGCCTCTAATCATTTGGTGATCGCTACCAGTTTTCACCCTGGCGATCACGGACACATCACTGAA